CCACTTGATCACCTGCCCAGGCCCAATCCAATGGCTTTGCTCCAGTCCAACATCCCCAGTCCGCACAGCATGAAATGCAGTCCACAATCCAAATCCCTTTAGCCCACTTTAATGAGTGCAACCAACTTCTCAACCGCCCAAGGTCTAATATGGCAACAACCTTGGCCAATCCAGCCTAGATCCAATCGGCCCATTCTGGCAACCAGCAACTCAATTCTTAGCCAACCAGACCCAATCTTTGACGTTCTTGAATTGGGCCGTTCCAATCTCAAAGGATTAACAGTGTTTCGCACCCATAATTCCTTAAAATTTTGATATATTTTTAAAAAATCAAAGTTCTAGAAATTATTATTTAATTTTTTTAATATTAAAATTAATTTTTAAAAAAAATATTATTTTATTTTTTTGTTAAAATATTTTTTTCACCCAAAAAAGTCACTTTACTTCTAAATTCGTTCCAGCCAAACACTCCGTAAGCTTGCATGTTTGGTTTATGGAAATTGAAATAAAAAACTAAATAACAATTCAGTTTTTTAGTTAACCAAACTTACATTAGGCCAATTTATTCTTGGTTCTCCGTTAAACCACCGCACAACCAAAACCCCCACCCCCCCCCCCCCCCCCCCCCCCCCCCCCCCCCCCCAAAAAAAGAAAAAACACATACTACCTAGTTGACAGTCCACCCGGTCCTTTTCTGAAGCGGACAAGATGAGGTTAACGGCCATGACAAGGTGGCATTTTTTTTCACCGTCCGCAATGTCACTGAGCGGCTTGAAGAAACCCAAAGCTTTCCAAATTCATTTGGCCGTCTTCTCCGTCGTCTTTCTCTGTTGCCTCTGCTTCCACTTCGTTCGCGTTCCAATGCCCTCCTTTGCTGCCTCCGCCCCCACCATAGCCTGTATGTCTCGCTTTCTCTCTCAAACTTTTTCTTCGTTTCTGGGATTATGTGTCCTCTTGTCAGATTCCATCAGTCTCTCTCTAGAAGAGTGTCCCGATAAGGAAATCGCGATTCGAAGAGGGCCGCTGGCTGCGATGATCCCGGGTCTCGAGGTTCTTCTCTGTTTTGAGCCCTCGAACGACTTGGACACTGGATTGAAACGCAGAGTAATTGTTCCATAAAATGACTACATTAAACTGGCCAAGGCAAGAATAATGGTAGTAGTAAACTGGTATAGTTTTCTTCTAATATTTCTATTGCAATGGAATATAATTTGATTCTGTAGATACAAACATATATTTTTTTAACTTTTTTCATCAGATTTTTTTTTTAAAAAAAAAAATTAGTAGGATGAAGACCAACTAATTAAAAAGTTAAAGAAAAATGTCCCGTCATATGTCACGTGGAATCATGCATATCCAATTTTCAGACAATATTATGAACATGCTCACATAGTCACGTGTATTCAAAGTTCAAACAAGAGATAAGATAGACACACCTAGATATGTACGTACTTAAGCACATAATATCTGATACAAACTTAAGCAAGATAGTCTTCAAGCTGGTAAATTATTTATTTATTTATTTATTTTTATAGTTCATTATGAAATTAAAGATGAATAAGAATTAGAATGTATAGACTGTGTGCCCATTTATCGATTTTCATTGGTTATAAAAATAACACTATGTCATTACCATTCCTATCAGAAGCATTCCTTGTCCACAAATTTCCATTTTTCGTTTATCTTTCTTCATTTGCTTGTCCTGTCAAATGTGACTGAAACAATTAACGAAACTCAACAAAGTTGCAGGTGAAAATTCTCCAAGTTTAAAGTCTAAACACATTGCTGCAACGGTACTGACATTCAGACCCAATTCTATGTAATATGGTGTCTACGCACAAGGGTTAATCAAAGCACAATCAAATACAACATCGCATGGCATGGACCCTCTCCCTTCTGAAGAGATAGCATATGTCTTTATGGTGGAAAAGCTGGTTTTGGATTGGATTTAACATTTCTATTATTTGTATGTGCAGACACTGCACTTGAATAATACCTAATTATTGAGATATGTGATTTCATATATGAAGATACATATAAATAGGATTAACCACGAACTTTAGTCAAGGACCAGTAGAAAATCTAGAAAGGGCAATGCTTTAGAGGTTATGGATTCCACAGAAATAGAGCTATGCAGCTGTTGCTGGAATGCCAAAGTAGATGAATAGCTAGTGTAGATGGGAGAGATGGTTTGGTATGAAGGAGGATATTAATTGGCATGATCAAAGAGATCGTGATCACTGTGTTTTACTCTCTGCATTTTTGTCTATTGGTGATCTTGACAAGAAGGGAAGTACCACGATCAATTTTTAATTTGGAGATTTGTTTTCTACACAATGTTTTATCCATACACAATTTCGAATGGTATAAATACTCAAACATTGGATGGGCCTTGGGGAAAGAGATTTTCATTCCATCCCTTGGTTATGACCACACAAACGTAGCTTATGTTTCTAGGGTCCCCCATCAAGTCCTTCCATTGTTTAATTTTCTTTATCAATATGTTGGCCCTAGCTGGTGACAATTTTCTTTTGATAATCCTCAACTTCTCATTTACTCCTCATATCCACTAGTGCATATGTAAAATTTTGTTCTTATAATGGAACATATGCAGGCATATTAAAGACATCTTTGTGCATGTCACTGATTTTAGGTCCATTTTTGGGAGTTATGTCAAGTCACACATCAACACCAACTTTGATGTAACTTGACCAGAAAGTCTTCATGTTACTAGTGTGGAGTTGTCTGCCTTTTGAATAAAATTAATGTGTTGGACCTAATAGAGAAGTTCACATGTGTGCATTTAGTTAAGAGAGCACATCACTGCAGGACAAAAACACCAATTGTAATAATGCATGTTGCCATGGATTATGCTCTGCATGAGGTCGAAAGTCCTTGCCTTTTAAGTACAAGGGTTGGTTAAATCTACAGTTAAATATGACATTCTTGGTATGGAAACCCTCTCCCTAATGAAGGGGTATCGTAGGTCTTTATGGTGGAAGAGTTTTGGATGGATTTAGTAATTTCCTTTATGTGTGTGGTCCTCTAGTTCACTTGGATAATCAAATCATCAGTATACATGATATTAATATCTGACTTTATATACAATTAGGATTAACTATCAATTTCAGTCAAAGACTAACATAAAAACCCAGAAAGGGCTATAATTATGAATTTAAGGATTGAATGGAAATATAGCAATGGTTTCTCATTGGAATACCTGTGAAAAAGAGTAGCTAGGATGGATAGATGGATGGCGAGGTTTGAGAGAGGATATGAATGAGTATGATCTAAGAGATTTTGCGCATTGTGTTTTATTCCTTCCATTTTTGTCCATAGCTGATCTCAACAAGAATGAAACTTCAACATCAATTTCGAGATTCACATACCATTGATGTGGAGATTTGTGTCCATCCCTTGGACATGGCCATGGAACTGTGCTTAAGTTCCTAGGGTTCCCTATCAAGGCCTTCTGTTAACTTTCTTCTTCAATATGTGGAGCCCAGCTGGTGACATTTTTATCTTGATAGTTTTCATCTTTTCTTACTCTTCCTATATCCACTAGTGCACATGTAAAATTTATTTTATTAAACAAACATATGCAGGTATATAGAAGACATGTTTGTAACATCTATTGATTTTAGTTGCATGGAATTTGTGTGAAGTCATTCGCCATCTCCAACTTTTATGCAACTTGACCAGAAAGTTGTTTTGTTGTGTGGAGTTGTCTGCCTTTCTGAACTTAAGTCATGAATTTGGATCTAGTGAAAAGGTTCAAATTTGTGCATTTGGTTAATAGAACACATCATCCTAGAACGATGGTAAAGAAATAATTGATCTTGTGGAGGTGCCACGTATTATGCTATTTTTGTGGTCAAAAGTTTGGCTTGCCTACTTTCTGTCTAAAGTGTACATGTGAATTTGTTTGGAAAAAATAACAAATTGTACCATTTGTATGTTTAAAATGACTGTTGTGTTGGTTATGTCTAAAAGGAACATTAGAACGTTATCACCTTCATGGTTGTTGGCCCTCATGATATAAGCATCCAATCTTTGTCAAGTTTCTATTTCTAGGCTTCATATCTGAAAAATACTTTGGGAAAATGCCTGTTTAGCACTTAAAAGCCGGCATTTTAATTTGCTTGAGAATATGAATTTGTTATGTTAGATAAGGTGCATGGGGCTGCTGCTGATATAAGCTGAACCTTTTTAAATATTAATTGTTATAATTTTTTTTTTTCTTTTGGGAGAATAAGATTGCATGAACTCAGCAATATGGTTTAATATGCACTTGAAGACCTCGTAATTAGACAGACAACACTAGACTAGTAATTTTAATAGTAATCACATGCTATTCATAGTCATAAGTAACAAAGGGGCATTATTTGTGAGTTTGAGTCAATTGAAGCAGGGAGCACAGAAGCTTTATGCATTATTTGTGAGTTGAGACAATTGAAGCAGGAGAACAAAAGCTTTATTGTGTGAGTCAACAATTTCCTGAATTGGGCGTAAGGTGACTCCTTCTCATAGTCGACCCTTCTTGGCTTTCGTCAATGATTGAGGATCAACATTAAATAATGTGCTTTATAGCTTACAACATGTCCGGAAGCTATAGCCATTATTCTGTCCTGAGTTTATGCTTCTTGATTGTACGGTCATGGTGATACACTCCGGAAAAAAGCTATGCCCACCCAATTCATGGATCTCCTTGTAGTTCGCATTTTTACATTTTTAAATATATATTTAGAGAAGAAAAAAGACATAGAGAAGGAGCTTTTCTAGTTTGCTTGGTGGCATTATAATATATGTTGATACCATCCTCCTGAAGAAGAAAGTTGACAGTGATATATCAAGGGCTGAATTATGCAGTACACATGCATTTGGCTCACTTTGTCGTAGCTTTTCTCTCTGAATCTTCGAATGTATATAAGTATCACCAAGTTGGGTTCTTCAACCAGCCAAGCTTTCTTTCGGAAAACCTCCATTTACATTTGTTAAAGATGTATACGTCAAAAGGAGGTTTATTGATACTCAAACTTCTCAGGAAGATGCTTGCAAGAATCCTCATATTATCTGGAAGACCAGGTTTCAGTGCAACTGACAATGTTTATGATGATTCAAGTTCAGTGGCAGAGGATCTGCCAGATGATGTGAAGGAAGGACATTTTGTGGTTCATACAATGGATCATGGTGAGCTGAGAAGGTTTGTTGTAGAATTAGGTTATTTAAGTGACCCTGGATTCTTGAAGCTGTTGGATCAAGCAGCGGAGGAATTTGGGTTCAGACGAGAGGGAGTTCTTGTCCTTCCTTGTCATCCCAATGAGCTTCAGAGGATTCTCAAGAAAAGGACAGAGAAAAAGATATGATATCGATGAACATATATGTCTGAAATTGTAAGTTCCGGATTGAAACTAATCTGGATAGTGTAACTAATTTGTCCCCTGTTCTTTCAAGTGCTCGAATGCTTTTATGCAGATTGTGTACTCAACTGAATTCAATTACCTGTTTTCCGTTATGCTATTATGCATGATGGGTTTTACTTGCTTAATTCCCCGCTTCCTACATCTTTATTTCTTGGTTTTCTTTTATCCTCATAATGTAATTTGTATATCTTCCTGTTAACCGTTAATTGTTGAAAACTTGATAATATAAAAACTGACAACGTGTTCAATGATGTCTCATTCTTGGAAACTTGGTACGTCAGGTGAACAGAATCCACATGCAGTTCCCTAATTTGTTTAGATATGTCAACTTTTTGATATGTTCCGGCCTTTTTCTGTACCTTCACCTAGATCACGTGCCAGCATGTTGATGAGATTTTTACGTATCCCAAATGGCTGGAAAACAATTCCCCATCCCCATAATTATAGAGCCCTCATCCTAAGTCTGTGGATCTCTTTGATGTTGTTGACGGCAAGCAGCACCATGAAGTCATTTTTCCACAAGTTAAAACGAGTTACAGCTTTTAGCATATGCTGTTTTATGGCTTCACTAAAGTCTACTGTGGACAAAAAGAAGAAAGAAAGAAAGAAAGAAAGAAGAAGGGCACGTGATACATCATCTACTCACATTTTGATTGCACAGCACAGATCTGATTCTCCTCCCGACGATCCTCCATAAACTACTAGACTTTATGGGTGAACTCCTCTTCATAGGTTACAGTTTTGCTTGTCAATTTTGCAACGAGCCAAAATACTGACAGTAAACTAAATATTACAGCATCTTAGCTATGCAATCTTTTTTTTCCTTTACATCCTCTCGTTCATCGTCTTTTCAGAGTTCTTCATTTGATAGTATCGGTGTTACGTTACAGCATTGAAGCATAACTTTCATTTGATTGACCAAATGAGATCTCCTTATCCTTGCATCACAACTGTTGGCAGGATTAGACCAGAAGAAAACATGAATTTTGGGGTAAGAATAATGTTGCCTTTTTCAATATTTGTATCATGTCTAGTACTCACTGTAGTTTTTATGTGTATCCAAGGAGTATTCTAGCATCCTGACAGATGCAGTTAATTGATGATAAATATTAATCAAGTTCCATGGGAATTATTTTCTCCGTATTTTGGTTCCCCTTATGTGCACCTAATTACTGGAAGACCCAGTTTATTTTCTTCAAGACCAGTTCAGATGTTTATAGAAAAATCTGAATTTAAAAGGCTAAAATGCGGGAATGAAAAATTTAATATCCATCTATAAAAAAAGGGTATCTTATCCAAATATTTTGAAATTGAGCTTTTGGAATTCAACCAGTTTATGTGAGTTGAGCATGTGATTTTGAAGAAAGGAGAAGTGATGGAGAGAAATAATGCACAAGGGCATTGCAGACTGAACCAGCAACCTCGCTGGTATTACCAAAACCAAAACCCTTCTTTCTTTTACAAGTCATGGCTTCTCATGTCAGGAGATTGGGGTTTACTTAGCATGAACCCTACTAAACAAGGCCATATCAGTTTGGGTTGATGTTAAGTAAACCCTAGAATTATTTGCAAGTTATTAAATAAAGGTGTTTCTCTTAGCTAGACTAGAATATTTCTTTTCTATTTTTTTTTTTTTACTTTAAGGATATTCTAGTTTAGTTGAGATAGGTTTGACTCTCTTCAAAATATGAAAGTTTAAAATTTCTGACAGAACCTGGCAATTATATGAGAACATTTACTAATAATAATTAAATGATGAGACAGTCCTGCACAAGGACAAAATGAAACCTAAGAAAGTACAAATGTTTGCAAAAAACTAAGTGAAGCAAAATGAAGGTTTGTTAAGATCAATTTTTTTAGACTATTTAATCAAGGTTGTAAACCTTATATTTTTCTATAAAGAACTGAATTATATATAAGATCATGAATGATTTTTATCTACTCCGTTTCACAGTTCAAATGAAAAACTTAATTATGACATAGTTAAAACATCTGCGAGAGGAAGGTTTATCATTCCATCGTCAAGTGTTCTCCTGCCCTACTATGCTGATATTGCAAATGAAATATCAAGAGAAAAGGTATCATAATGTGATAAGAATCATGTGCAACGGTCTTAAGCTCAACCCCTTTTGCCGTTACTATTTCATAGACACGTAAGAAAGCAGTCTTGATTTACCATTTAAGAAGTATCCAAACGTACAAAGTGTTTGGTATAATCATATAATATAGATATATGACACTGATATAACATTATGGTAAATTTATATTAATATTAATAAAATATTTTTTACATACCAAAGTAAGTTTTAAAAAATTATTTAAAATAATTTTTTTATTATTCACATTAAAAAATGGAGTTCTAAGGACCTGACTTCTAGGAAAAAATTAAGTATTGTAAAACCTGATTCCGTCTAACATACAAACAAAGCATTACAATAGAGTTTTTGTTGTTCAATAAAAATTCTACACTAGAGCTCTATTTGAAACTTTGCAATAGAGGGAGGGGGAGAAGGGCTGCTAGTCGACCACAAGAAGGAAAAGTGAGAAAGAAAAGGAAGGGAGAGAAGAAAGAGTCGTTGGTTGGCCACAAGAATAAAGAGAGATGGGGAAGATAGCAAGAAGGTTATCTTAATTTTGTGGAAGAAGATGTGCTACCCTAAGGATCAGGGGGTCATGGGTTAAAAAGTCTGCAAGTTATGAATGAGACTTGCAGTATGAAGCTTAGTTGGAATTTGAAGTCTAGTCTGGAATCTCCTTGGACTGTAGTGTTAAGGGGGAAATATGGCAAAGGTGAGGATTGGATTGTATCCCTGTCTTACAAGCCTTCGAATTCGAAAGGGTGGAAAACTATAATCCATGGTTGGATAGCTTTGTCCAAATTTGAGTTTTGGAGGACAGGTAATGGCTCAAAGGTGGACTTATGGAGAGATAAATGAGTTGGTCCTGATTGTGTTCTAGAGATGTTTAGGAAGGAGGCAAGTAGTTCCATGAGGGCTTGCAAGGTTTATGAAATGGTGGATGCTAATAAAGAATGGAATTGGAACAGATTAAAGGATCTTCTCCATCCTCTCGGCTTGCGTAAGGTTCATGCCATAGCCCCACCTTTAATGGACCTTGAACTAGATTCTGAAGTTTGGCCAAGGTAGAGCAATGGGAATTTCAGCATTAGAAATGCCTACAAGCTGTTTCAAGGAGAGAATTCAAGGCTTAATCCCCTTAAGTAGAATAAAATCTAGAAGCTTAAGGTCCTAGAAAGGCTAAGAGTGTTTGCTTGGCTTATTTTGCATGGGAAATTACTTACCAACCAAAGAAGATCTAGGTGGAGTAGTTGCGATCTTGGCTGCTATGTTTACGGTGATAGAGATGAGACAGTGTTGCATGTACTTGGGGATTGTCCTGTAACTGCCCAAGATTGGAAAAAGCTGATGCCTTTAGCTTATAAGGCCGTTTTCTTTATGTTTGAAGGTAATGATTGGTGTCATGCTAATCTCCTGGTGCCATGAGATGAGGCTTGGCCTTAGCTTTAGACTACTGCTTTTTGGTGCCTTTGAAATTGGAGGAATATGGACATTTTTTTATGAGAACTTTATTAGACTGTCAAATTCTTGCAGCATTATCGAGTGGTGGCAGACGGCTAGTAGAAGGGTTAGGCGGAATCAGTTGACTTGCCATGCCCTCTTAAAAAGGATGCATGTTACATGGACCCCCTCTAAAGCAAGGCTGGGGTCAAACTTAATACAGAAGGGGCTTTAAAGCCAAACAAGAAGCTAGCAAGATGTGGAGGTCTATTGAGTGATTATAAGGGAGCATGGATTAGAGGTTTCATTAGAAAAATTGGGAAGGCAACAGTCTCTGGAGGCAAAAGTATGGGGAGTGCAGGAAGGCCTTAAAATGGATTGGAATCTAAATTGTAGGAAGATTATTTTGAAGGTAGATTCTAAACCTATAGTGGATTTGCTTGTGAGGAAGCACATTTCCACCTCTATTTGGTCCTAGTTTTGGGTAAGATTAAACTTTTCATGTGGTAAGATAGACAAGTTGAGATTAAGCATGTGATTAGAGAAGCGAAGAGATGCGCTATTTTAATGGCTAACATTAGTTTGTCTCATGGTTTTGGCTTGAAAGATTGAGCACACCCTCCCATCAAATGAGGAGTCTTCTCCTCCGGATATGATGGGGGCCTCTATCCCCAGGTTCTATAGTATAATTTTTTTCCTTCTTTGGGCTTTTCAGGCCCTCTTGTAACAAAAAAATAAATAAATAAAGCACCTCAAATAATCATTAGTAAAGATTTTGTGTTTGTGTTGAATTGGCTTGTGTAAAGAATCATTTCACATGGCTTTTTGTTTTTGCATTTAATTTTTTAGTTCAAAAATTCAAGATGACATGTTCAATTTTTGAACTTTTTTGAGTTAAAAATACAAACGTGCAGAAATTATAATTTTAAAATTAAAAATAAAAAAATAAAACCAAGCCCAAGCTCTAGCTAATTATTAGAACTGCTCAAATCCATTTAAATGGAACTAGGCCCTTGATTGGGTGGGTGTAATAGTTAAAAGTGTTAGCCTTAAACTCTAACTGTCACGGGTTAGTGGAAGTCAAATTTTTTAAAAAAATTAATTTAAAATCCAATCTATTTTTACTAAAAATAGTAACTTTTTTCTTTATTTCTCTCTTTCTGGCTAAAATATCACATTTTGGTTCCTTTTTCACTCTGTCATGCACCCTCACGTGCCCCTTTCTTCTATGACACATGCCTAGGATAGACCCACAATGTCACGCGCCCACAGCACTACTAGACTAGCCGCACGCGCTTGCACACGCTCGGCCTTTTTGCTCCACGCACCTGCCTTAACTCTCTCCTTTTAGTTTCCTTCCTCTCACGGCCGGCCAGAATAACTTGATGTTCACTAGATTCACATGACTAAGAGATAGCACCATCG